GAAAGTCAAGTTGAACATAAAAACGGCCGACAAGCTTTAAACCCATAAACAAAAAGGAAAGAAGATAACTAAAAGCTTTAGAGAAAGGAGAAGAAAAGTTGATTAATCAAGCAATAAAGACTCCACAAAAACAGTTTGGAGAATCCGCAAATAAAGCTTCCATCTTGTAGAAAGTCCAAAGGAACCCAAAGAAGTTCGCATAAGAGCCCCTTCATCAAGAAAAAGGTTCAACGCCAAGATTATTAGAACCGAAAATAATTTTAAAAAGCAATAAATTGGTGTCAAACTGAAAAAAGCAAGGATTGACTAGCCAAGCATGAGATGAGACCAAGGGCATCCATCAAACATGTTGGAAACATGTCGAGTAAAAGCCCTAAAGAACTATGATAATATTGCATTATAAACATTGTCATTGTTTACGCAAAGTGATATGTTGTAAAACTAACCTGTTTATTTTGGTATGTCAAGGACTCGGTATCATCTGTATGGCTTTCCTTGAGGGTACAAGAATGCAACTCTAAACAACCTTCAGTGCCAGCAAAATACAAAATTAAAAAGCTACAGTAAAAATTTTGAGGCAAAGTTTTCATCCTTGCGGATAATAACGCATCAGATTTGTAGTATTACATTATTAAAAGGAAAACAAATTTAAAAACACAAGTGGACTCATACTGTAAATATAAAACAATAGCCAGACGCCATCCTGGCATAAGTCTAAAATATTTCTAGGAGTTACTTAAAAGTGCATTATTAAATATTTTCAATAATATTTCATTATGCTAGAAACAATTTCAAATTTTATGTTAAGGAGTTCAGGCAAACACAGCCATTGTTCTATTTAGCTGGCGAGTGACATTCACCAGCCTCCAGAACAAAAAAAACAAACAATAAAACTCAAATATATGACAAAGTTTGTCAGGATTTAACTAAATAACTTTATTATGATAAGCATTAAATCTAAAACAGGTGATTTTAGTATAACCATAAACAATCAATCCTTCTTTTTGGGATAAATTTAGATTTAAAAGCAAAGCTCGCTACAAAAGTTGATGGTCTATATAGCTCGAAGTCAAAATTCAAAACTTATCTCATTGATGCCGTGTTACTCTTCCTAATTTATAATAAAAGGTTTTGTTTAATGTTCTTATCTCATTGGTGATGTGAATAACAAAAGAGGGTGAGATTGAAGTACAATGAAACAGAGGTTGAATTGGAAACTATCAATACATTTTCAATCAAGATAGTAAAATGAAACAGAGGTTGAATTGGAAACCATCAATACATTTTCAATCAAGATAGTTAAGAAAACAGGATAAATAAAAGAAATAACGTAATCTCCTTTAATTGTTCAACATAAAATCTCATTCTTTTCTGTAGGATTATAATGAACCAGAAATGTTGCATTTCACAGATAACACGATTACTTGAATAGCATCATATTGTGTCAAAAATAATCAAAGCTCCTTTTTTTAAACATCTAGATGACAGCAAATCTAATGTTTAACGATTAAAAAAAATGTGACAAAAAAAATATTATAGCCGTTGTTAATCAATTAAAAAGCATTGCATTTTCTAAATATAAAGTCAATGAATCAAATGCACTGTATTGGAAAGATACTAATGTGATCTAAATAACATTTTTAGTTGAAATATGTTATCTAAATAGCATTGAAAAAAAAAACGGAGCTAGCTATAGTATGAAAGGGGACTCATTCCACCCTCCGCCAAAATTAGATTTGTTTCATTAAAAACATCAAGCTTAAAATCACAAAAAGGCTTAGCTATCACAAATATGGAAAGACGGAAATAAACGCATGCCTTGCACGGAACTCTGACAATGCTCTTGCTCGTCTCTATAGCATGGACCCGTATCCTGTATGAGCTCCATTTCTTTGTAATCGTGAGAGCTAGCGACATCCACAACTTTTACAGCAAAAGAATCAGTAAAGCTGCCGATGCTAGTAATCCCTTCCTCACTTTTCGGTACTCCATCGCTCCGCAGAGCATCCGCAGATGTCCGAAAGGCCGGCGAACCATCTCCCAGCTCGCCCGGTCGATCGCGCAGAGAATCGTGCGAGTTGACAGACAGCGGAACCTCCGAAGAGCTCTCAACGAAGCCGTCCGGAAGTGCATCTGCCTCAGGGAGACGGTTCGCCGGGTGGGTTTCCATTTTCGGCGAGAGGCGTGCAAGAATTACAGGTGAAAACGGGAGAGGAATGCAGCAGTGGGATTTTGGAAGAGCAGATAGGGTTTCTGTTCCGGCTATGCAGGGTGGCCTCGTATGAAGCGGGCTAACCAAAATGATGAGTCAGCATGTAGTTTAGTTGAAGCTCTTCAGCTTAAATTTATAGAAATTATTACGCGCGTAGATCAATAAATAATACATCATTTCTAAATGTGCATTAAATAAAAATCATGTTTTGCATAAATACATGTAAATTTATCAAAGAGTTAAAATCAAATAAATAAAGTCTTATTTTTACTTCTATAATGCTCCAAACAAGTAAAATATATTTATAAAATAGTGTTCAATGTTTTATGATATAGAAATTATAAATAAAATTTATAATGAATCCACTGAAGATATTTGAAAACATTAAGACGATGTGCAAACAATCATTTTAAGGTATATTATTAATACGCCGCCAACAGATTTTCATCGCCCGACACAAATCTCGGACAATATTTTGAGCAAAAATATTAAAATCTTGATAAAAAGTCATCCAGAGCTCTGATTCAGCATACTTATAGTCAAATGAGACGGACCTAATGATATCAAAGTTAGTCCAATCCGAGTCAGATCAAACCCAGTCAAATTATTAAACCACTCTTGGAGGATTTCTAGACGCATTTGGAAGGTAAAAAAATTGTCAAATTTAACGAGGTCATAGTTGAATCGACCGTCTCGACAAGTCGAATCCAACGAGCCCAATATTGCTCAATTTCAACATCGTTAAAGGCACTGAAATGTCCATCAAACGATATTTGATCGACGAAAGCTCACCGGACCGTCCGATCAAAATGGTTTTCATTCATATATTAATTGCACCAATGACACTATAAATAGAGTCCCGTCCCTCACATTAGGGAGGGGACTTAAGATAGAACTTTAGGAAAATTAGCTTAAGTCTAACATTATTCCTACTATCGCCGATCGCTGTCGACTACAACCGACCGTCAGCGACCCACGCCAACCTCCGTCGATCGCCGCCGGCCGCCGTCGATCATTATTGACCTTCGTCGACCACCGTCAATCATCGCTGACCAGACACCGTCAGTCGACGTTGTAACTTGGAAAATTTAATAACTTTTTCCTGTATGTGTAATAAGGGTCCTCTGTAATCATCAACTTATGGTAAATTTTAAGACTCATTGTATTTATGAGTGCCACAATCAAACTATTGAGAATCTGATAAAAAATGAAAATGATGGTTTGAGATTTTACCACGAATTTAGATATTTGAGTGAGAATTTGAAAAATAAATGAAAATATGATTCATAAGTAGCAACTTCCTTGTGATTTGTATATAATTATGCCCTCAAAGTTATGAAAAAATTTTCTGTCTAAACTCCGGATGTAGCTATAAATGTAGACTGCAATAATATGTCGCCACTTGTGTAATCGCAAATGTTATTTCGGGGTTATTAAAGTGAAACCGCAAAGGTTATTTCAGGTTTATTTTTGAGTTTTATTGGGGTTATTGAAGTGAAATATATAGGTTTATCTTTCCCGAAATAACCCATAAATAACTTTGAAATGACATCCACAATGTTATTTTTGAGTTATTGAATTGGAGCCACAAAGATTATTTCAAATAATTTAAGAGTTATTACAGAGTTTAGGGTTTCACTTTAATATTTTTCTACATGAGCCCGATATAACACTTAAAAGAGTATATTATTGGGAGTGTTATTGAGTGTGATAAAGATTATTCTACCAAACACCCCCCAATAGAAGGAGAAAAATTTGCTCACCTAAGACGTACAGCGCTATAGCGCTACGTACATAATGGAGGTTACATGACTGTTACTATTATATTCGTGTTATACCCCTTATAACCTTCAATGTAACTTTTATATAACCTAACTGTCACCTACATAAACTTACAAATAAATTTTGCGCTTTTATTTTCACATATTTGTATGTTACATATAAATTATATGAAAGTTATATGATATTTATGAGGATATAATGCGAATATAATGCTGATATAACACCTATATAAAATCTATTATGTATGTAGCGCTGCTTACACCCTTACCTAAGGAAAAATTTTTCCAATTGAAGCCCCACGTAGCCCTGATTCTTCACTGGGACTTTTCTATAGAGAAGAGGCCCGGCCCGCCCAATTTTGTTACAGCTTACCCATTCGGACTTCCATGGCGGCACTCCGAAGAGGCGAAGCTACGGGACTGGATTTCCGTCGCCCGAGCTACGTGTTTCTCTTCCTCGCCCTTCTTACGATCGCTTTTCATCGATCAGGTGCGGAAGTGGTGACACTTACGGCTGATACATTTACTGACAAGGTCTTATCGCATATCCGATCCGCCTTTTGTGATATTTCTGGACCATTCTCTTTGTTTCTTTTGATTTATCCAAGTCTCTGGTAACTGATATTGTTTCATCAGTATCGATCTTCTTCTTGTTTTTTACTGTCCATTTGATTGAGTCCTGCTAATTTGAAAACTTATACTCTCTGCGAGGGCGAATTACGTGAGTTGGTTCTTCTTGACGAGAGAGGATCTTGTTTCATTTTGTACAGATTATGGTGATGATGGCAGTTTTTTTTTTTTCGGTTGTCAAAGTAAAGCAGTTTATGGATCATTAATGTTAAGCTCTTAATTGTTGTTCCGAAACCTTATTATTATTGTTTTTATTTGATTGTCAATACGTAGCAGCTCTACTTAAAATTATAGTCCACACACTTCTGGATATCATCCAAAACTTCATGGAGCGATAGATTCCTGGAATTTAGGTTAATGATCCGGCATTCTTAGAAGTAGTGCACGTTCATGGTATAAATTCTGTAGGAGAGTTATGCATAGAATTACTTAAATCATGTGATAACTGAATTTTACTGGAAGACCTTTTCACAATATCTTGCATGCAAGGGAGGAATTTTTTGTCTCTATACGTGCATTCAAGGGAAAGTCCTTTGCGACAATCTTGTTAGAAGAGTCATGCGATTCAAAATGAACAAGGACTTTAAATGTTTATTTCTCGGTTCCTTCTTGATTTATCCTGCAGCTTGCCTGCTTGAGCTCATTCCATGGTTTTTCTCCTCTTAGTTTTACATTTACTGGCTTCAACTAAAGTTACAGACTGGAGAGTTTTAAGTGCTTTAGGTGTGATTTGCCGTGTGTTGAAACCTTGAATGTTATAGTGATGGCAATTATATTTTGTCAAAGAATACAGTTAATATTCTGAACTAATTATTTCTAAAAGAGCTAACCATGTGTTGATCTTCAACAGGACAATATCTCCTCGTAGCATCAAAATTTGTGGTAGATAACTTTGGTTGCATTTCACATTCCCTTCCCATTTCTTGAGATTAATTTTAATCTGTGTTCTTCACTGCTCATGTGTATTTTTTCTAATACTTTTTAAATTAGGGATATTAAGACTCGTTTTTTTTTCCATTCTGCAACCAATGGTATTAGCGTACTTTTGTGTGTGTAGTGATATTTTTTGTTATTTACGCATCTATCTGGCTCTAACCATTCACTCAAATAGCTTAACATATCAGTGGATCTCATTATTCCAAAATAAATGAAATTTTAGAGTTGGAAAATTTTCATGTATTTGAATGTTTTTATGCAAGAATTGCTTGGTTCATGCTATATTTCATTGCCTGCTTCTCCTTGCATCCCTATGTTTTTAAGTTCAATACTCATTTGACTGATTTAACAACTGATTTAACAAGCCCTTTTATAATTATATTTCCAAGTCATTCTGTAATTATGATATTTCCCACGTGCTAGTCTGCTCTAAAAGCAAGATATTTGTGATAGGCTCCTAAAATTGACATGGTTGATGTATCTTTCCATTATCAATATGATTTCATTGGAAAGGTAGAATAGAACAAGTATAAACATACTACAACACAAGCTCAACATAAAAACTTGAGAAATTGAGTAGTTTGGTGTGATTGTCTCACCCAAAACCAAAACGGCACAATAAAAATATTCCATTATAGTTTGATTTCAAAAAAGTACATCATAATCTTATCTTACATAAAATGCGCTAAATAAAATAAAAAAAAAACAGAGAGAAAATAAAAAAATAGCCATTTTCTATAATACTTGACTACATGCTTCCATATGAATCACTTTGCTACCTCATTGGCTTATCTTATTTTATCATCACTTCCTCTCCAAGAATCCTCCAACGCTATCTTATCGCCACCCTTCGATAGTAGCATTGTAATTTAATAACTTTTTTATGGGGTTTACCATTTTTCGGTGCTAGTTTGTTGACATTTTTCATCTCGCTGGTGATTTTACATGTGATTCGATGTCTTTAACAAATTTGTGACAAATCCAAAGATAGTAAATGCCTTTTTTTCTCACTGATCCAATCTTATATGCATGCATCTTCTATAAATAATTATCTCATCGCTTAAAAATAGCATAGAATTGAGTTAAATTTTATGAACATTAAGCTCTCTTTTCTTCTTATGGTATAAATTTTGCATGCCTTTTGTAACATAGTTCCTTACATATGATGCGGTTTATTGAACAAGAGATGATGTTTCTCTATAGATTCTTGAAAACTTGTGGTAAATTTTCATACTTGTGTTTATTCATGAAAATTCGTATTTGATTTAATTTCGAAGAAAAAATTGTAGGCTCCATAATGTCAACATTCTTTCACTTGAAATTTTAATATTTCTGTGCTATTTTGCAGTCATTAATTAAGTTTAACACCTTGACCTTATTGATCTTGTAGGTTAGCTATGATATTAATGTCTCAGTTTATTTTTTTAGTGGTTGTCTTTGCAAGTTTGCTGGACAAAAATTTAACTGCTTCCATGACAGGGCATCCTTTTCCAAGGAACCACAATTAAATTGATATTTAAGTTGAATATGTGTTGGTTCGGAATGCAATGCATATTTTTGGTTAGATATATAAGACTAACTATTACAAAAGAGGTATTGTTGTCACACAAATTTCCTTAATTTTGTAGATTCTGTAGCAAATTCACTTACTTTCAGTCTCAACAAACGAATCAATTGTACTTTTGTGGGCTACTTTTTTCTATAAATATGACGTATACTCGAAAACATGCCACTGAATATATGAATCCTAGATATTGTAATTGTTTGATTATTCACTTTACTAACCTAGCCAGCAATCACAAGCCTGTGGTTTGAGGTTTCATTGCTAATTTGAAATTAGTTACTTTTAGGATTTTTTAAGTTGCACAATATTTATGTCATCTCCTCCAAAAACATCTTTCTTGAATTTGAACACAGTCATGTTTATTTCTTCCACTACACAAGTTGATCAATTTTTGTGTCTATAAACACTTACTGGATATAATAGGCTGATTTAGCTTATCAATCTTTGACAAACAAGTTTCATTGCTTTAATTTCTTTGCCTTTCCCCTGTCCTTTATGTTACAACTATTTATTTAACTCATCGATATAACTGGTATTTTTCTCTACAATCAAAATCTTACTAGCATATAAAAATAAGATGATCAGCACAACAGTAACATTATATATTCAATTTGGTGAAGCCAATTTGATGTAGAATCCATCATATTTTCTTATACCGCCAATAATTTATTCATTTTTAAGCCGTGTAGGTTTTTATTTAGTTCGTATGTGTAATGTTTTATTTTGGGGAATTCAAAGCCATAAATTGCATCATATAGATCTCCTCCAAATCATCATGGATAAGTATTTTCGTGGCATGTAATTGCACATGGTATAACTTGTCTAAATATATCATTCTCAACGCCCTCATTATAATAATTTAATTGACAATAGAAAAAAATGTCTAATTGAAGCGATACCATTTTTTTAAATACTTCTACGATTGGCCTTTCTTTATGCTTTAATGTCTACTATTCTCTTCTCTTTCTTGATTTTGGAATCCTTTTTTTTTTCCAGCGCTCTTTATCCTTAGGGAGGTGACCTAATGTCAAAGTTTATTCTTGCAAAGTTTTTTATTTGTGTCTTCATTTCAAAAAGCTCCTCGGGTTCACCAAATAAGTTCGAAATAAATAATGCAATGAATGAGGATGTCTATGTGCAGTATTATCCATTCGAATCAATGAATTTTTCTTACACTTTTAAGAGCTTAATTTTCTCTTATGTTGGCATATGCAATAACATTGTTTAATCCATATATATATTTATGATTTTGATTATCTCATAATATGCGTTCAAAGGATGAATTACATTTCCAATGAAATATCATCTTCTAGAATTTCAAGACCTGATTGAATAGACATGCTCCGATAAAAAAACTTTAAAAAAGGATTAACTCCTTGTCAATCCGAACTTTTTGTGGTAGTTTATGGTATCAAGGAGCTAAGGGTTTACTATATATTACTTATCTTAGTGGCTTCTGAATCTCGAGGACTATGCAAGAGATAATCCTGTACTCGTTTGAACTATAGTGATATACCTTCGTACCATCATGAATTTACATGAGGCAATTATGTCAAGCCACATGATTTTATGATTTTTTTTAGTTTCGGGCTTCAATAATTTTGTCCTCATTTGCTCACTGATTTTCACAAACTTATTGTTTATGCCTGTTTAGAAAATAGTTCTGTATTCTGTTTTAGATATTGGCGAACATTATTTCTTCCGTTGGTTCTTTTCAGTTTTAGCTCATTTTAGCATAGCTTTTTCTGTGTTTTATGTGAGTGGCTTGTTCGTTAGCTTATCATGTTATATAATATATAATTTTCTTGTTGTATCCGTGAATTTTATTATGCTTATTTACTTGATTTCATCTCACTTAGAGAGTCATATTGCCACAACATATGTTTATTTATTTATTTATTTACAAGCCTTTTTGCTTTGTAATGTTTGATGACTCATAATTTCTTAGTTTTAAGTGAAATTAACCGTTTACATTGTTTTCTCATTTCCTGAAATGATTTTTAGTAACTTATCATCTGGGTTTTTTCACTTTACAGATTAAAGAGAAAGATACCGTGTGGTTTGTGAAGTTTTGTGTTCCTTGGTGTAAATATTGGTAATTCTTTATGGATTTTGATTATTTTTTTCATCGGCTTATGATTTTAGATACATTGATCATGTACTGGTAAAAGTTTTTGATGTTGAATAAACTGAAGATGTGTTGATTTAGTAGATTCATTTTACCTCCTATCTGATTATTTTGTTTTTTCAAATTATGAGTGCTGCAGCAATAAATTGGGAACACTTTGGGAAGAATTGGGAAAGGCTGTGGAAGCTGAAGATGAGATAGAGGTAGGAGAGGTAGATTGCAGTCTGAACAAAGCAGTATGCACCAAAGTTCATATTTATTCATATCCCACTTTTAAGATATTCTATGATGGAGAGGAGTTTGCAAAATACCAAGGTGAGTTTCATTACGAAGTACATTTTATTACTTTCATATCAAGTTTAGTTGGCATCTGATGTTTCTGATTATTGTCAAACAACTCCATCAACAGCATAATATTAGCTTAGCTAGTCTATTATTCATGATAGGGGCATTTGCAGACATGCCACTCAATACCTATGTATTTACATGTCTAACACCTAAACTTTACCTTTTACATTTATAACACCTAAATCTTTCATATCACATAAAAAGCCACCATTTTATCAAAATATAACCTTTTAAACTCTTAATAAGTGAAATACACATTTTCATGCATAGGTAAGGTGGTTTGTATGTAAAAATTGAAGTTTAGGTGTTAGCTATGTACATACATAGGAATTGAGTGGTGCGTATGTAAATCTTCCTTCAAGATATTACTTGCTGTATTTCCAAAAGTCTGTTCTGCCTGGTTCTGGAGTTGACATGATTTGAGCATTAAAGCAACAGGTCATAATGCCGTGTTAAGACAAAACATTATATTAAGATGGCCTTGAATGAAAAAATAAGATAAAAAGTGAAATTGCTAGAACAATCTTCATGTTTGCAATGAAGCCTATATGTAAGATTAAGGCCCCTAAAATTGTACAGCCAAGTTGATGATCATCTATTGTTTGAATGGCCATGCGTCCCTTATTTCCACTGCTTGTGTGGAAGAGACAATGGTTACATGTGATGAATGGATAATATCTTTTTTTTTTTTTTTATTCGATTAGGTAGAACTTGATAGTGTATTAAACATAAGTTCCAGTGTGATTAAATGAATGCTTCAAAACGGGTAACTTCTGGTTGGAGATGAGTGAGAAGTTCTGTTTGAAAAAATAAAATTAATTAGCCATGCTAAAATTCAACGGAGAAACATAGAGAGATAGAGAGAATGATTGGGAAGGGAACCTATTGCCTCATAGACTGAAATTAAATCATTTTAAGAAGAAAAATATTATCATTGTCTAAGAGCATTTATTTTTTAATTTAATTTATGGAAGGGATCAAAATTATTACTAAATATATAACCAAATTTGCCGAACTATTGTTTTGTTTTGTAATAATTAAAGATCCTAAGAATTCAGTCTACCTTTAGGTCTAATTTAATTTCCACAATCTATTACTTGAACATGTTTTCAACTTGCGTTAGATTTGGAAAAAATGTTAAAGGGACTGCATTGTTTTGTCAATACAATCAATTATTGTCTGTTGCACTCTGCTAAATCGTAGGTTTGTGTACTATAGTTGATTAGGATGTATTGGGGAAACCAATTGCTTCTAGGTTTAAGATTTGGGGCTTTACATAAATGCCCCACAATTTTTATGTATTTGTATATCTAACATCTAAAGTTTGATATCTAATTATTTTGAAGTTTTCGTTCTCATAAGCTTTCTTTTTATAAGTTTTTATTCCTTCAGGAAATTTGGCACAATTAGTATTCTATGTATTGATTAAATCATAATTGCCTGTTGATTTTACATTGTTCAAATTTGTTGTTAATATCTTCAGATTTTTTCAATCATTATATTATCATTTATGCTTTAATTCTCTTTCTTTTTGTATTTAAAGAAAGCAAGTTGTTGGCTTATTTAGTAGATCATGGTTTATTAATTTTGAATTCTGCTGCATGATCTGCAGATGTCACATCATTCTAGTTGTATTAAGAAACTAACTCTATATTTTCCTGCATTATAAATGGATAATTGGTTTTTATGCATTTATAATTCCCCTCCCTTTTTTTCTTAATTTTCCTTTTTTATTTAATGATGACATGCCATGTTTACTTTTCAATCCAATATGAAACATTGGATGATCATCATTAGCCTTCTTCCAACCTTTTTTTTTTTTTTTTGACTGCATGAATCCTCATTTTCACTTCCATTTATGTCGTTCCTCAATAACTACCCGTTCCCCTACATCATGAATCCTTATTGAAGGTGGATAAGCTTGGTAGTGAAAAATAAAAAGGACATTTACATCCATTCCACAAATTTCTATATATTTACATATCTAACGTGGAAAGTTCACTTCTTACATTTATACCACTCAAATCTTTTGTAACACATCAAAATTATCATCATTTTAACCTTTAAAAGGTGAAATAGTCCTTTTAATGCTTGGTTAAAATGATATGCATGTAAAAATTGGCGTTTAGCGGTTAGATATGTAAATACATAGGAATTGAGTGGCATGTATTTAATAAAATATCAAACAACCAATCATAACAGTCCCTTGGTTCTGGTCTCACAAAGTGGCATAGTTTTTATGGCTTGATAATCATCTAATTAAGTGTTTGACTGAGAAAAAAGTGAATTGTTTTCATTAATTGAGTTACTATTCAGGGTGTTTTTTTCTTTGTAGAGAACTATTAGCTAATCAGAATTGAAGATAATTGCTATTAAAAAAAATGAAGTTAATAAAGTGAGTTTCAAAAATACCTAACTTTCTGAAACAAAATTTTCTGCTTAAGATTGAAAAAGAATTGATGTATTGAAGCTGAATGTTGAAACTACTGAAGCAATGCCACCATCAAAGCAAAAGCTATACCGAGCTTAATATTTTATGATTAGAAGCAAAATTGGATAAGTTTAGTCGCCATTGCTATAGGGCCTTCTTTACCGGAAGACTAAAGTATATAGATAAAATATGAGAAAAATGAGCATTTCCAATGAGAAAAATGGAAACTTTAACATACTTTGGATCTCCTGTGACCTGATCAATGAAGTTTAAGATCACATTTTTCTTGAGCTAGAGGAAGTCACCAAGGTGTTTTGGTTAATTTTAGTTGTTTTTATTTGTAATGATATAATCGAAATATCCCGCTCAAAATTTTAATTATGATGAATCTCTAAGCCTTCAAAATGAGTGTAATCTATCGATAATTAATGTTATGTGTATCTCAAAATAGATCTGATGGCTTTGTGGTCTTTTCTTTTTAGCAAGCCATTCTGATACGAATATTTTCCCATGCCAACAGTAGCAAAACTTAAAATTCAAATCATTTACATACATGCCTCCCAAACCCTATGTATTTAGATATCTAACACCTCGTATTTGCTTTTAACATTTATACCACCCAAATATTTAATATCTAAAGAAAAAAAAAACATCATTTTAACCTTTAAAAATAAAATACAACTTTTCATACACAGGTGAGGTATTGTGCATGTAAAAATTGAAGATTAGGTATTAAACATGTAAATAATTAGGAACTGAGTGGTTTGTATGTAAATTTTTCTATACATTCTTATGAATATCAGTGCCTGTTTTGCGCTATTGAACTAATTGATTATTCATAACATCGACGCTTATAATTTCCTCCTGAAAATTGCAGGACAAAGGGATGTTGAGTCACTTAAATCATTTGTTCTGAAGGAAGCGGATAAAGCTACAAAAACAGAGATGGAAGACGAGAAGGATGAGTTATGACATGTGAGTGAAATGTTTCACCCGCACTCAGATTTTGCTATTGTTTTTTTTCACTAAAGTCTAAATAAGACTGTCAAATTTCTTCTCTTTAGCATTTTGACTTGTTTTAAACTTATTTTTGTCACCCATTTAGAAGCAGCCAACCTAGCCATTATGTGCATAGGGAGAGTTTATCAATGAATCAAGTATTATTTTTTCAAACTTATTTTCTTATTTCTTATATGGACTTTGAGACCCATTTTTAAAATCTTGTTTTAAGTTTATTTTCTACAGCATTTACATACATACCGCATAATTTTTATGTATTTATATATCTAACATGTAAATGTGAATTCAATTTTTGATGTATAACACTTCAATCTTTAGCATCACTAAAAAAAATACAACCATGGCTATCTTTGTAAAAGTGAAATACACCTTTTTTCTATATGTTTATGAAACCAACATGTTGTTAAGTGGTAGATATCAAATTTTGGGAGTTGGATATGTAACTACATAAGAATTGTGTGGTCTGCATGAAAATTTTCCTTTGTTTTATTATTGAGCTAAGCTGTGCTTGTGTTTTAATGGCGTTTAACTAATTATGTTTGATGCTGGTAAGTAGTGCATGTATGTTTATTACTGTACAGAAATGGATGTACGAGTTTTAATTAAAATTATACAATTTATTATGATTTGTTTATATGATTTGATGAAGTTCAAATTTTTATAAAACTGGTTTTAATTTGTATGCTCAGTTAGCTGTTTTATAGTTATATTAAACTAATGCCTGACATGGAATGCATAAGTTTTAAAATTTAAGATGCAAGAACATGGAATAAATATAAATAATTATTTTATGGGCATTTTATTGAATTTTGGGTGAGCTGCTTGTAAAATAATAAATATGCGTATTCTGAAATATAAGTGATTGAGCATGATAATGTTTGTGAGCCTGTTCAGTTATTGTAATAAGTAGATATTATCCAGTTTTAATGAGCAATTGTGGAGCTGTTCATTTTGTTCTTTAATTCAATGGCAGCCTTTACACGTACATAGCTTGCACATGTGAAGAACAGAGTAACTAAAATCCCTTCAATATGCTTTGAGATTTTTATTTATTTATTTATTTATTTATTGGTTGTTGGCATCAGTTTTTGATGTCACGAGTGTATGATGTCCGTTCGAGCACTAAGAAACGTTGCTTGATGCACGTATTGACCCCTGCAGCGCGAGACATCTACTTTGGACCCACCGACACGTGTTGAGGGGCACGTAACCGGGGTCATTTTGCTAGGCTTTGGCTTTCGCTTGGGCGAAAGCCGGTCAGCATTAGGCACATTAGACGATTTCGATCGGGCCCAAAAATATTATTCGTCGCGTCGCGCATGAAATTGGCCCGACGGCTTGACGAAGTGGTCCAGATGACCTCGGATGATGAAATGAACTTCGCCACTATGTCTAGAACATCGATTTCACTTACGGGGGATGGCCACTTCACTACGGCTTTGCGGGCGGGGTGAAAGTGCACAAATTATCGTTTTGGGCACGATCGTCGAAAAAGTGGCCCAAACGACCTCGAATGACGAAACGGACTGCGCCAACGCGTCCGGAACGTCGATTTTGGGCAAGAAGGATGTTCACTTCGCCGCGAGGACGTATACGGGTGAAGAATAGAGAAAGAATAATTATAATAATATAATAATAATAATTATTATTATATATTTAAAACCTACGCACCCTCTCCCCTCTCTCTCTCTCTCCCTCTCTCCGCATCTCCTCACAACCCACCCTCTCCTCTTTAGAGATTTTTGCAAAAAAGCCCTCAAGCCCTTCTCTCTCCTGATTTTAAAAAGAAAAAAAAAAACTAACACACATCTCCTCTCCCCTACGGCCCCCCTTCGCAAAAACCATCGCGACATTCTCCTTT